AGAAGGCAATGAAAGATGGGAGAGAAACAAAAGAGTACCCAGGGCACAGACCTGCCTTGGGTAGTAGTTAAGAGTATACAGACTTTGTCACGGATATAGAAAACAAACTTATGGTTACCAGGGGATGGGCGGGGAGGGATAAGTTGGGAGATTGGGACTGACATATACACACTACTATATATAAAACAGATAACTAATGAGAACCTGCTGTATAACACAGGGAACTCTACTCAATACTCTGTAACAGCCTATATGGGAAAGGAATCTAAAAAAAAAAAAAAGAGTGGATATATGTATATGTATAACTGATTCACTCTGCTGTACACCTGAAACTAACACAACATTGTAAATCAGCTGTACTTTTTAATAAAAATTAAAACAAAAAATAGAGTATAGACTCTGATGTTCAATGCCTGGGTTTGAATCCTGAATCCAGTACTCATAAGCCGTGTGATTTGGGGTATATTTTTCACTCTGTAAGATGGGTATAACAGGATCTATTTCACAGGGTTTTTTTTTTAAGGGTTTTAATAAAATAATACTTATCTTCCTGCTTCCACCCTGTCCACCTCATGTCTATTCTATACACAGCAGCCAGAGGGATGTCCGTTTCATTGGTGACAAAAGCCAAAAATCTTACAATGGGCTACCAGGCCCCTGCATTTCTGTGAGGTCAGGGTTAGGGAGAGGCTTCTTCGGGCCACCTCCTTCCTGAGTGCAGAGGGACGAGGTCAGGTTTCCAGAGATGCAAGACAGGAAATGCTCATTAAATCACCTGCCACCACATCTGTAAGTGACCTTCTGTGGTCACACCACAGGCCACAGGGCCAAACACGCACTGGTCTCAGACTGATGCTCAATTCACCGGCATGGCCAAAACCGCAACCAGGCAAAAACCAACCTTGCCCCTGAGTCCAGAGAGGCCCTGGCAGATGCAAATCACAGGCAAAAGAAAACAGATCCTTTCCTCTAGAAAGTCCCAGAGATTATGACTTTTTTAGGGGTGGGGAGGAATTCCAAAGACCTTTCAAATCCTCTAGGATCTGAAATTAGATTTCCTTTTTCCTCCCTTCACTGGAAAAAGGGAAGAAGAGGTAAAACACAGAGATATTATACATCATCCCAAGAAAGACAGAATCAGAGAGAGATGAACATGAAACCCACAAATCCCAGATTCTGAGGCAGATATAGGCAAATTAAGATAGGCCGGGATTTTCTGGTGAAAAAAAAAGACTTCCTATTGTTAACCTTGCCCACCTGCCTACCTGTTGTGACCTCCCTGTTCCCCAACAAATGTCTCATATCTGAAAGTCCACCCAACACATACATAATGACAACATATACCCTACTTATTATATGCGTATTTCCAGAGACTTTCATCTCAGGAGTTCAGAGCTCTTACATTTATTATGGGGGTTGGGGGGAGCGGTGAGAAGTCAGACCTAGTCCAGTCCAGTTCCCCCACTGCCGAAGACGTGAGCAGGGGACAGCACTGTTTCCACCCGGTCAGCCCTTCTACAGCCCTTGCTGTGCACCAGGGGACAAAATCCAGGGTTAATTCCCAATTCCTCTCTGTCCCTCACACACCTGAGCCCCAGAGACACCAAATAAGAACATAACAACAAGTCAAAAGTCTCCTTTATCTAATTGCTGTTAAGTGCATTAATTGCATAGCTCTGAAGCACTCCCCACCCTAATACCCTCCATGGCTCCACAGCTGGACATGACCTGAGAGCCTAGCAGGACAAAGCGTTAAGAAATAGCTGAGTCTTCTCGATGTCAGTGGAGCCTGAAGGGTCCCGTGGGAACTGAGTGGGCCCTAAGCCCTGGGCCTGAAGGAAAGGGCACAAACCCACACATGCTGGACAGGCCAAGAAAAAGTACCCTTCTGGTTCTGGTACCTTACTCTGTGCTCATGCCTAAAAAAGCACCCGCCTTCCTGCTCAGTCTCTCCAGCAACCCTCTCTCTATTCATCTGGACCTACGACATCATATCTAGAAAGACCCATCACAGACACCCTTGCCAATCTCCCCTCCCCTCCTCTGGACACAGTAAGAGGCCAACCAAACTGCAGACAAGAGCTACATGGACAGAGAAAATGTCACTGCTCCAGCTGAGGACAGGAAGGAGCGGGCTGGGGTGTTCCATGTGATTTAAGGCAAACAGAGCCCAACTCTGGAGAAAAGAGACACAATCCGGTAGCTGCGGAGGGAACAGCCTCATCTCCAAAAATGGTCCAGGCAGCCCTCTTGGCCAACCCTAAGGTTTTCTGGGGCGTCTTTAGTCACCAAGGTAGGTAGCTGAGGCCTCTGCGAACCTCCTATCAGAAACAACAACTCCTGCCAGGCCCGCGCAGCGGCAATGCCATTCTCTCAAGGGGCCTCTTACACCCGCCCTCACCCCACCCAGTGTAAGGCTCTGGGCCAAATGGGTGAGGGCTGGGAGCAGCCTCTATCACTAAAGGAGGCAACCCAGCTGTCACAAGTGACAGATGTCATCCACAACGCCAAACTCGGCCTGCAGCAGCGTCGGAGAGGCGGGCACAGACACAGGAGCCCCAAAGACTGAGAACAGGGTTCTCTAACCCCTAAGCAAAGTCTACGGATTCAAGGTGAATGGCTCCCAAGCACATCTCTCAAAATGGAGCTGCAGAGGAGAGGGCTGGCCCGCCAGAGTAAAGGAGGAGTGGAGCTGCCGAAAGCTGGAGGGCGGCGGTGGGGTTAGGGGAGACCCCTGAGGAGGTGGGCGCTGGGCTTTCTCTTTGAGTCCCCAAACATACCTGTCCCCTCCGGCCTCCCCCACATGGACACGCCTGGAACTTCCCCTCAGAGGCCACAGACCAACTTTCTGCAGCGAAGGAGGTGCGCGGAGCAAAGAGCCGGCGCGAGGGCGGGGGAAATGGGGAGCTTCGACTCGGCGCCCAAAGGGTATGAATAACTGAAATACTGGGAGATGGGAGGGGGCTGGCTCACGCGGACCACCAGCCCCCAGGGCCTAGCCAGAGGCCCTAATGGTTCCCACCGCCCGGGCTGGGCAAGCAGGAAGGGGAATACCCTGCACATCAGGTAGCAGAGTTTCAGGACTAGGTGGCCCGGTCCTACCTGCAGTTCCTGAAATTCTCCCTCCAGCTCGTGCCACTCGCGCTCGCAACGCTCCAGCTGGCCGGCCATGGTGCAGTGGTGCGAGACGGAGGTGGTTGCTCCTGCAGAGTGGCGCGGCCGGCCACCAGCAGCCCACGCCTGTCCGCTCGCCGGCCGCCTTCCGAGGCACCAGCTGTTCCTGCGCAGCGGGAGCCACGCGCGCACCTGACGTCACAGCCCCGGCCCTGGTGCCGCCCCACCCCTCGCCGGGAGTCAGGCCCTGCGCATGCGTACGCTCCGCCCCGGCTCCGCCCCCGCGCGTCGGGCGCTTGCCGGGGCGTTGCTGTAGCTTTGCAGAACTTGGTAGGGACTACTGCTGCCCACCTTGGGAATGCTTCTGCGCCTGCAGAATCTCTCTCGCCTAGTTTCGGTGGGGAACTTGTCCGCAAACCGCATTTGTAGAGCTTATTTTACTTAAATTGTGTGTATTGGGGGTGTCTGGGATCGCGAGGTAGAAGGGAGATTGCGGGGAGGGAGCATTGCCTTAACTGAGCCAAAGCCAACGACGGCCTGGAGAGAGGGCCCTGTCATCTCACATTGTCATTATTTACTTCAACCAATACATCCTAGATCCTGCCCTCTAAGACTCTAGGTGACTGTCTTGACAGCAGTTTCTGTCGCTCAAGTGACATAACCACCTCAATGCTAATTGAATCCAAATTCCCTCACCTCCCGGGCGTGGTCCTGCAAGATCTATCCCTGCCTAGTTTTCGAGTCACATCTCCTATCTCATCCCTCTTGATAAGTACTCTCCAGCCACGGTTTTTGTTTGTTTTTTCTTCCTGCCCTTGCACGGAATATTCTTCCCTCTAAATCTTCATATGGTTGCCTTTTTCTCATCATTCTAGCCTTAGTTCAAATGACATCTGTATTAGTTTCCTAGGGCTGCCCAAATTACAAACTGGGTTAAGTACCACAAACTGGGTGGCTTGAACAACAGAAATGTATTCTCTCACAGTTCTGGAGGCTAGAAGTGAGAAATCAAGGAGTCAGCAAGATCATACTCCCTCTGAGACTCTGAGTAGAATCTTCTCTTTCTTCTTCATAGCCTATGGTGGTGGTGGTCAACCCTCAGCATTCTTTGGCTTGTAGCTTCACCCCTCCAATCTCTGCCTCTGTTTTACATGGCCTCTTTTCCCACCTGTGTCTCTGTGTGTCCTCTCCTCTTATAAGGACACCAGTCTCCTTGGATTAAGGGCCCACCCTACTCCAACATGAACTCTTCTCAGTTTAAATAATTACATCTGCAAAAACCTAGTTCCAAATAAGGTCACATTCTGAGGGAGTGAGTATTAGAACTTCAACATATCTTTCTGTGGGACAAAATTCAACCTGTAACAACACCTCTAAAAAAAAAACTGTTCCTGAACACCCAATGGGTCATGCCTCCTCCCAGTCACATTTCACCTGCTTTATTTCCTTCATACAACTTACCATTATGTGAAAGTGTTTGTCTCGATGTTGGTTGCATGTTTCCCTCCATGGGTATATAATATAATCTCCATGAGATCTTAGGGATCTTGTCTCTGTTTTGGTCATCACTAGATCCCTAAAGCACACAGTAGGCCCTCAATAAATACTTGTTGAAGGAATAAACATTAAAGATCATCTACTGCAGAGGTTCTCAACTTTTGGGGTTCATAGACCCCTCTGAGAACTCTGAATGGGGAAAATGCACAAGAGCACACAGAGAAATATTTGCAGTTCTTATCTGAGGCGTGAAAAAGAGCGTGACTTACTCAAGATTCCCAGCTAATTAATGACCAACTTTGATTTATGATTCTCATCTCTCGGGGCTGGGACTTCAACATATCTTTTTGGGAGACAATTTAACCCATAACAACACCTCTCAAAAAGGGTGAAACAGGATTTTTTTGCAAGCCTGATTGTTGTTGACTGGATGTCAGATGTTGTGAAGTCTACCTTGTTGCCTTCCACCTCCCTTTTCCTCCTCCTCCCCCTCCTCCTACTTCTTTTGTATTTTAGTAGTTCTAAAAAATATTCTTGAGCTTTATATTGGATGTGGTTATTTGGAAACCATTTGATCCTTTTGAATCTTGCTTTTTTTTTTTTTTTAGCTGCATTGGGTCTTCATTGCTGTGCGCAGGCTTTCTCTGGTTGTGGCGAGCGGGGGCTACTCTTCGTTGCGGTGCACGAGCTTCTCACTGCAGTGGCTTTTCTTGTTGAGGAGCATGGGCTCTAGGCACGCAGGTTTAGTAGTTGGGGCGCACGGGCTTAGCTGCTCTGCGGCATGTGGGAACTTCCAGGACCAGGGCTCGAACCTGTGTCCCCTGCATTGGCAGGCAGATTCTTAACCATTGCGCCACCAGAGAAGCCCTGAATCTTGCTTTTAACATTTACCTGGGACCAAAAGAGTGCTCAGTCTGGAGCTAATTTTTCTCCACTACTGAGGCAAGACCAGTGCCCATGAATCATGAAGTTTTCCAGTCTGGCTGGTGCAGGAGCAGGCTGTATTCCTAGGCCTGTGTAGGTGTCACACACTCTTACCTCTTATCATTTCAGGTAGCTCTCTCCCTGGCCTCTGGTAGTTGTACTTGTAAGCATGTGTTGACCAGGGCTCAGCTGATCCTAGAGGGGACTCTTTCCAGACCTCTGGATTCTCCATGTGCAGCTGTCTCCTCTCTAGAATTCTAACCTCCTTGGTTTCCCTGGACCCTCAGTTCTGTCGTCTCAACTCAGGGGGTCTGCCAGGCTCCACCTGGGGTCCCCCTGCCCTGTACCATGGCCTGGAAACTCTCTCAAGACAATAGCTGGGGGACTTCCCTGGCAGTCCAGTGGTTAAGACTCCATGCTTCCAATGCAGGGGGCACAGGTTCGATTCCTAGCTGGGGAACTAGGATCCCACATAATGCATGGCACAGCCAAAAAAAAAGACAATAAGCTGGACAATCACAGGGCTAACCCCACTTGTTTCCTGTGTCTCAGGGATCACCGTCCTCCATCGACTGATGTCCAGTGTCTTGAAAAAACACATCATTTCATATTTATTCTCTCCATTTTTTTATTGTTTCAGGTGAGAAAGTAAATCTGGTCCATATTACTTGGCTAGCAGAAGTCAGCATGATGCAGTTGAGATTCAGATGATTATTGTATGTTTCCGTAATTCATTCCTTTTTCCTTTGCTGAGTGTATTTCATTGTATGGATGGATCCATTTCTTTATCCATTCACCAGTTTAGGTAACTTTGGGATGTTTCCAGTTTGGCTGGATTATAAACAAAAGTTTTTAAATTAAGTTTTTAAATATAGAACTTTTAAATGTAAGTTTTTAAATGTAAAATTTTTTAATTAAGAAAAAGATGACAGTTTCATATAAAAATCCAGACTTTTACTTTCTCTTGGAAAGTGGAAAGATCTGGCCACACTGGGCTCATGTTCGTGCTTGGCAATGGGCTGGACCAGAGGAACACATGTCCCCTTCACAGGAGGCTCGCCAGCTGCCACAGTACCCTGCAGGCTCAGCTGTACTGCCCCAGCCTACTTCATGTAGGCTGGAGACAGCTGAGCTTGAGACTCCTGATACAATGTGTCATGAAGTTTGCAAAACCAGATGAATCACTCACTTGGTGAAAAAACAGAAAATAGTTTATTTAATTGGGGTTAGTAGAATCAAAAAGGAAATCCAGAGCCTTGAAGGATGAATTAAATGTCACCAAGCAGAGGATTTGGGACGACGATCCCCCTTTACCTATGCTTGCAGCTGCTCGATCCTGGGCTGAAGAGGCTGGCCTTGCCCCCCAGGGAGAGCTAGGCAGATGTACCTTCTCTGCAAGCTGGCCAGCGGTCAGGTTGCAAATCTTAGGGACTGTTCTCTGTGGGGTCAGGACTTTACGTGCATTATTCGCAAGCCTTTCTGTAGATGGCACAGGCTGGCCACCCCCATCAGTGTAGCTGCTTAGGTGCCAGAAGTATCGGATCTTACCTGGCTGCCACCCTGTCCCGGTTTCTGCCCAAAGAGCTTTCAGACTCACTCATCAGCTTCCTGAGGCTGGATGTGCCTCTTCTTAGGGATTTTGACCACGATATGTGAGAATGGTGAGAATGTGCGTTGCAAGATTCCTCCCCCACCCCCTCCCTACACCACCAGGGGGATATCTCTCCTCTTTGCTTATTTTAAGGCACTCTACTTAGGGACCTACCAGCTGTAGAATTTGCTCAGTCAGCTGGGGAGAGTCATAAAAGTAGCAAATGGGAATTCCCTGGTGGTCCAGTAGTTAGGACTTGGTGCTTTCACTGCCCAGGGCTAGGGTTCAATCCCTGGTCTGGGAACTAAGATCCCACGAGCCTCGTGGCGTGGCCAAAAAAAAAGGAACACATAGCACCTACTATGTGCTTGGCGTTCTTCTATACACTTTATGTATATGTATTAATGCATTATGTATATGTGTAATGCACGACGACCTTATGAGGAAGGACCTTTATTATCCCTATTCGACAGGTAAGTACTCTAAGGCATGGTTTCTCCAGCTTTCACTGTGCTTTAAACCACCTCCTGGAGATCTTGTTAAAATGCAGATTGTGATTCAGTAGGTTCTAGGAAGGACCCGACATTCTGTAATTCTACAAGCTCCCAGCCAATACTACTGGTTCAAGGACCACACTTGAAATAGCAAGAGTCCAAGGTACAGAGAGGTGAAAGAACTTTCCCCAGCTCATCCAGCTACTGGTAGCTGTGTTACTTATGCACTGCAGGATGCCAAGAGCCTATTCTAAAATAAGAGCAGCTGCACAGGGAGAAGTGAAAATTCCAGGGACTTTTCCTTCGTCTGCTTCCCACAAACGCCCTTGCTCAAAATAGTCCCCCCCACAAAAAAAAAAATAGTCCCCAAGACTGTAACAAGCAATTTGTGCAAAGATGGTTATAGCAGCATTTTTCAGATCAGCCACACACTGGAAGCATCCCAAGTGCCCCACAAGAGGAAAACAGTTAAGTAAGCTGTAGTCTGTCTTGGGAATTCCCTGGCGGTCCAGTGGTTAGGACTGAGCGCTTTCACTGCGGTGGCCCGGGTTCAATCCCTGGTTGG